ATAGCACGTGTGGCGCACGTGCAAGCGAGATAGCACGAGCGGCGTGCGTGCAAGCGAGATAGCACGTGGGGCGTACGTGCGAGCGAGATAGTACGAGCGGCGTGCGTGCAAGCGAGATAGCACGGGTGGCGCATGCGCAAGCAGGATAGGTATAGCAGGAAGAGACCGTGAGGTTATACTTATATATATATTCGAAACCTTTTAACATATTTACAGTATTTACATATTTACAATAATGGTGACGACTCTGTCGTTACATCACCTCCCCCCCTTTTGGCGTAGCACGTGTTGGCGCGGCCTGGTGGTGGGTGGCCCGGTTGAGGTGGGTGCTCCGGAGGGTCCCGTCGTGGTTGAAACGGAGGACCCACTGGCCCTCCGGAATCCACTGGCGGAATCGCCGCTCGACGTGTCGGGCGGTGTGCGGCACGCTGATGGCCCGCCCGGGTGCCACGTGGACCGTGGTAGGCTCCGATGGGCGAGCCCCTACGGGTCGCTGTCGTCCGGCGGCCGTCGGTCTGCGGATCGGCTGGGCCGCAGCGGCGCATGGCGAAGAGCGCGGGCCGGCGGCTTCGGTGATCCGTCGGTCGGATGTCGGCGTCGGACGTCCGGTGGCTGGCGTCGGTGCGCGCGCCGGGGGTCGCGGCCGCGATCCCACTGGCCGAGGCGGTGTTTCCCTGTTGGCCGTGGTGGGCTGTGGCGCCTGAGCCGGCCTCAGTGTCGGGCGCGTGGTCGCCGGTGCTCGCGCCGGTGGCCGTGGTCGTGGCTCTTCTGGTGGCGGCGTCTCTTTTACGGCCGGGCTGGGCCGTACGGGCCGTGGCGGCGGGGCCGATGCTCGCCCGCGATTCAGCCGGCGGCGATCCGGTGGCGGCGGCGGGGTGGCCAGGAGGAGGATTTTCTTCCTGGTTTCGGCGTCGCCCCTTTGGATCGACGTGCCTACCCGTGGCGGCGGTCGGCGGGTGACGTCGGTTGGCGGTCGTCCCGTGCTGCTCGGTCGTGGCTCGGCGGGAGGTGGCTCCGGCACATCCGACAGGTCGCTGTCGGATGACCACCTTTCGAATAGCGCTTCCAGCTGTTCTCTCTCGGCTTGTGTCGGCATCGTGACTAATGGCCGATTGATCGCTCGATCGCCCGGCTCGCGGATTTTTATACCCTTCGCGGGGTGTGGCGCGGGTTGTTGTCGCGGCTAGTCGAGCGCCCTCGGATGGTGTTCGGCGGTACTGACGGTGGTCAATGGCCAGGGCCGGCGTTGTTTGGGGGTGGTGCTTTCGGTCGGTCGGTAGTCAATGGCCAGGGCCGGCGTTGTTTGGGGGTGGTCCCCTCGGTCGGTCGGGATCATTCCGTCTCGTGCCTTGGTTGTTTTCGGCCTTGTCCGGGTGCTCTTTGAGCTCTTGTATGTGGACGTGGCGGTGCCAGCGCCCCCGGGTATCTCGCAGGTCCACGATTACCGGAGATATAATCCGGCGTACCTCCAAGGGCCCCACAAATTTTGGGGCTAATTTCGCGTTAAACGCATTGGCCTTATTCGAGAGGGGGTGGCTTCTTCTCCACACGAGCTCCCCAATTCGTGGTTGCCAGTCTCGTCGCCGTAGGTTGTAGTGGCGTTCCTGGTGTTGAAATGCTCGGGCCAGGTGAATTTGCACGAGCTCGTGTGCCTCACTCAGATGTCGCTCGGTTGTTTCTGGTGCGGCGGCGGCCCCTTGGCTGCCGGTCTTCGGGGTGCGGTCGGGCTAACTCTCGGCCGTGGTTGAGGTAGGCCGGAGTGTACCCGGTCGCCTCATTCCATGCGGTGTTGAAGGCGTACTGGAGGGCGGGTACGTGCTCGTCCCAGGCCTTCTGGTTCTTTCCTACGTACTGGGCGTTCATGGTCTTTATCGTCCGATTTGCTCGTTCGACCGGGTTACACTGCGGCGTGTACGGCGGCGTAGTACGGTGTTGGATGCCAAAGGCTTGCAGTACTTTGGCTAACTGTGCCGATTTGAGTTGTGTCCCGTTGTCGGTCAGCAATCTTTCGGGGCACCCGTGGCGGTAGATCACTTGCTCGGTGAAGGCTTTCGCAACGTTGGTCGCCATGGCCTTCCGCAGTGGAGTGACCTCAATCCACTTCGTAAAGC